TACACTAGTCAAAGTAAGAAAAATCGGGCATATGTTTTATTTTAAACTGATATATGCCCGATTGTTGTTAAATTACAAATTCGCCATAGCCCTGATTGATGCAAATTTATGCAGCAACCCGATTTGTATAAAATTCAAAAATAATTAGTCCCGATTTATGTCGATTGTTGGTGCAATTCGGCATGTAATCAGGAGACAATCAGAACCACCTGATATCAGCCTGATTTTAATAAATTGCTTAATTTAATCGAAGTTGAAGGGTATTATATCATTTGGAATTTATGCTTCAAAATAACTTTATTGTTTCGAATCAAATACCCGGGTAACTTATTTTATACTATTATTTATTCGTCATTATTATCTTTTTTTTTAACAGGGTTTTTAGAACAGCAGTATATTGCACGGTTTGTGTGGAGACATGCAATGGCATGACTTTTATACATACAAGCCAAATGAAAGGATTTGTCTTAATTTGCTAATTCCACTTCTAGCAATTAAGAATAATTTATATTCACAGTTAACACAAATGGAATGATTCGAGGAGTACTATGTAATGGAGATAAGCATTATGTTCCTGATTTTCCACTCTTAATTCTAATTAATAATAATGATCTTTATGTTAACGAATTGAGGACATTCTCAAGTGCCTCAATTAATAGATCAAAGTATGTGGAATTAGATTTAATTAACTTGGTGTTTTTAATTGATCAATTGAGCTTGTTCTCAAGCGCCTCAATTAATAGGTCAAAGTATGTGGAATTAAATTTAATTAACTTAGCATTTTAATCGATCAATCGAGCTTGTTAAGATAAGGTAATTTATTACATGAAAGAAAATCTTTAAATAGAAAAAATGAACAGTGAGTTAACCATTTCATTCAAAACTTTTTTTCACCGAACCACCTTTTTTTCTGCACTGACTTATCAAAACTTTATAAACTATGGATTTTCATAATCGACACACTTTTTTGTAAAATTTTCGATAGCCTATTTAGAATCATCTCAAGCAGTGACTGAGATCTTTATTTTGGTCTATCGTTGCAATTAAGCATCACTACATGAATTCGTATCTAGGTTGATGCTTGAAAACATCCTGAAAGAATAGTTAATGCGAATGAAGTGGATTGAGGGCATTAATGGTGAGAAGAATTATGTTCTTGATTTGAGAACCTCCGAATAATATATTCGTAGGCCGAATGAAACAATTAACGCGATGAAATGGTTGAAGAGTATAT